TTGATCCATCCCTTGTAGTTGTTCACTAGCTGCACTAGTTGTGCAAAATGTTTCAGTGAAATGAAAATAGTCAGTACCACCTTTTGTGACTGTTACAATCTTTTATAGTTGATAACTGTACTTGTCAAAAGTAAATGACTGCAAGACTGGGAAAAGAATGGCTACCTGTTCCACAAGGAACTATTATCTTGCTTTATTCGGATTAAATTGACCAATTAGACAACCACAAACACTATATTCGAGGTAATTGTAAATTGGATTGTGACGTTTAAGCCCTTTTCACACTACTGGATACTGCCACTGAAGGTGCCTATGGAGTATTAGTGGCACATATAGGATTTTGCACATAGTAGAACCTCATACAAATAACCAGACACTACATTATGCACGCATTCCTGCTTATCTTACATGATCAATTTGAATCGCAATTTATTTTTCATCAAGTGTGTTCCAAAGTATAGTTGCTTGCTCCACATTTATTTCACCACTACTGTCCTAAGTTCTAACAGCTCTCCTAATCGTTTTTATTCTCTTGCAGGCAGTAAGTTTTCCCCTTTGTTGAGAGGCATTTCTGTTTAGGAAATCATCGTCAGTTTCCTTAAGATATATGTTTTTTCAGCCTATGTTTCATGACGGCATGAAAGAATGGAGCTGCTGCAAGCAAAGAAGCCACGATTTCAGCTTATTTTTGCAGATACCTGGGTAAGGATCCCTCTTCCTACCTTGGTATGCACTGAGCCACTGCCAATATTTTGACTTCAATATTAGTGTGTACTGTATGATGCACTATGACATTGTCAGTATGGTTGTCTAGTTGAGAATTGACTTAAACCTAACCAACAATTGGTAATACCCAAAACAAAATCTAACATCGTGTGTGGGAAATCCTTGAGTGATCAAATCACTTGTGCTGCTTCACTCAGCTCAATTGGTGTCCCTGCAGGGTTGTCCACTATCCAAATGATGCAGTAATTATCAAAATTAGGTTTCGCCAATAAGTTAGCTTTGCCAAAAAAAAAAAATGCTCTGTGGGGACATGAACCAAACAGGCAAAATTTGTGCTTTGTGAAAATGCAGCTATGTCAGCAAGTCTTCTTCTCTACTCCCCCTGTCCCAAAATAAGTGTCATCTCACTTCCTGAGAAGTCAAACACTTTTTACTTTGACCAAATATATACAAAAAACATTAATATTTATGATGCATAATAAGTATCATTAGATTAATTGTTAAATATATCTTCATAATAAACTTATTTGGAGATGCAAATGTTGTTAATATTTTCTATAAATCTAGTCAAACTTAAGAAAGGGGTGACCTACACAGAATCCAAAACGACATTTATTTTGGGACGGAGGGAGTATATATTTACTGTTACATCATTGATATTCACAAATTAGATTTATGTTCTATTTTGGCTATTTTATGATAGAGCAAACATTGTATCCAAACATAGCTTAACTGAGCAACAACTCCTCTGTGTTTTGTGCTCATTTTGTTCTTTACTTACTCCTGGAGTATTTGGAGTTTCTTATACATGATAGTAATACAGTAGAGTCTTTTATAAAGATAGGCCATATGGCAGTTTCTCTGTAAGGCTCTGCTGCCTGAAAGGGGGAAAATCTGTTTGCAGTTGTGTGGATTCACTTCTGTGTTGTTGTTTGGGTTTCATATGACATTAAGATTTTTGTTGCTTCGGACCAATGTTATCAGAACATCTAGTCGTAGACCACTGATCAGAAGGATTAGTCGTCATCAGGGCTGGTTAGTCGGTCATGTAGTCGTCCAGGTGCCTAGATGGAATACCCATGTGTATGTAAATGTATGTAAACACCATCATAAATTGGCAAATGAAAGAGGCAAACAAAGCAAGCAGCCAAGCACATCAGTCGGTTGAGGATGAACCTGCGACTGCTGCAGCTTGAGCATGGGCTGCTGCTGCTTAAGAACCTGGAGTTGGAGATGCCTGAGAATTGACCACCTGTGGCCGCTGCAGCTTGACTGCTTGAGGACGGGCGCGGGGAAGGGAGCTCCTCCAGGTTCTTGGTGCTGGTGGGAGGACCAGAACGAGGCGGGAGGAACAAGCAGTGCAGAAAAAATGAGACATCTCCGCGCGAGCGTGAAAAAAAGCAGCGGCTACGCGACTTGGGAGCTTCTCTCCTCCTGTCCACGATATATATATTGGAAACCTAATGGGTTTGCTAAGACTGACCCAAAATCTTCCCTCACCACAAAAGTTACTTGGGCTGTACAACTAGTTGTCTGGGTGGCCCATGATTAGTCGGACAATTAGGTTTCTAGTTGAGGTAATCGGATCGAGGGTTCTAATCGAGGTCATTGTTACAATAAGGACAATTAATTGTGATTAGTCGTCCTATTTAACAACATTGCTTTGGACATATTATGCTCAATGCATTTCCATTACGCTGCAGAGCAAATGAAGGTATGCTTCTGATTTGAATATAGTGTAAATATGATGCTTTGCCTTTTCCTTACTCCCTTGGATCCCAAATATAAGTCAATTAGGCTTGGGCACAAGAACTAGGGTATGGTGTACAGTGACCCTATTACCCATCAATGATTGCTCGAGTTAAGATAGATGACAAGTTGTGTTGCATTGATTAGGGTGCATCTAACTAGGGGCAGACATGTAAGAATGAGAGTAAAAGGTGCATTGGAGTTGTAATGGACTTATATTTGTGCATTTGAGAGAAGGCTAGATGGACTTATATATGGGATCGGAAGGAGTAAAAAAAAGATGTGCTCTTTTTTTTACTTCGTGTAATGTGCTAAGTTTACACAAACTATCTCTCTGTGCTTTGGCTACTTACCAACCCAATACAAAAACCATTGGGCAGATCACTACATCCACTTTGAATATCTGTGAATTAGCCACCTTGCTTTTCATAGTAATATGCAGGTATATTTCGTATTTGGATGCTCACGTTTAATTTTTGGTGTCTTGACTTAAACTTGTAAACTGCAGTATTTACCAGAGACTGAATTGACATAAGTTACCAACAGCAATTGTAGGCAATGAGAATAAGTGCTTGATTTCAAATCGCTGGATGGTTATGTAATTTATGATCACCACGACCATGAAGTGACTTAGATGACCACTAAGGTGTAGGCAACAGTTGACTAAAATTAATAAAGAAAGAATAAAGAAGGCTAAGTGGTAGTTGCTTATATATATCTAACTATCTAAGGTTAAGAGTTGTGGGTCATGGCTGACCATAAGTTGCTTGATTTATATTTCACTGTAGACTCTGAAGTGATTTGTTTTATCAGCAGTTGATGAAAAGTGCTTCTGATGGTTAAGTGGCAGAACACACTAGTAGAAATGTGTGGGAAATTCTCTAATAAAATCTGCATGAATGGGCTCAGCTCAACATATTTATTCTACTCTCCATGGAGATCCAGATATACGTCTCAGTTTGCTGGTGAATTGATGTCTTTCTACCATTATTCGTTATGAAATAGTGTTTTTAAGGTCGTCTACGTTCTGGTTTTGATCATGGTGTTTTATCATTATAGACCAATATCATTCAACCACCTCTTGTATCACCAGAGAAAGGAGTAACTGACCGCATGCTCTATTTTGGTGTAGATGCACAACAGGAAAGCATACAACCGAAAAACCAATCACAAAAGCTGTTTCAACTAATAACCCTATAAAGGCAACACCAATCCAGTCCTCTAAGCAGGGTGTGGGAGTTGATGCGTGTGCAAGGTGTCGTCAAGGTTTCTTTTGCTCTGATCATGGTGAGTTTGTATTTACAGTAATCTTGTTTTTGTTAAACTGATTGATTCCTATTTATAAGTGTTAGCAGTTTACCACCCTGCACATATGTTTGGCCACACCATATGGTCCTTTACAGTAATAATTTGGTAAGAAGCATTATTAGCTACCTATAGAAAATCGTTAAGTGGAGCTTGTGTTGCTGTTTTCAGGATCACAGCCCAAGCCACAAAAACCAGCTGCTACCGATGATACAAACAAGGAACCTGTTGAGAAATCCTCTGTTCCACCGCCCAAGAAAAGGATCGATATAAATGAACCGAGGATATGTAAAAATAAAGGATGTGGTAAATCCTACAAGGAGAAGGATAACCATGATTCTGCATGTGACTACCATCCAGGTCCTGCTGTTTTCCATGACAGGATGAGAGGGGTATGTATCTGTTCAAAGTTACATGTTGGTTTCTGCCTCTGTAAATAACTAGTCTCGCCATATCAACCATGTATCTGTTCTTGCAGTGGAAATGCTGTGATGTTCATGTCAAGGAGTTTGATGAGTTTATGGAGATACCTCCATGCACAAAGGGTTGGCATAATGCTGATGCGGTGTGAATTCACACCATGCTTAAGCTATTTTCGTGTTGTATCTCGTACCATGTAAACACCATCTTTCTGCAATTTATTGAGAATTTCATTCGGAAGTGTGAGAAAACTTTGAGGATGAGCTGCTTAAGCTTTGCGCAAGGTGGTTGTTTGGAAAACTTGCGTGATTCTCCTTGTACTCTGGAACATTACTTGAAACAACATTTGGCGTCTGAATTTAAATTGGATATTTACCTGTTTGAAGCTGAAGGTTTTTAATATTTATTTAACCGTGTCAAATCCAGAGAGGTCGGCGCATGTTGTGGAGCAGTAGAGGTGCTGTGTAGTGTGTTTCTTGTGTGTGTTCCATTATCACCAATTTACCATGGCTGTTGGTGAAGCCCTGTTCGTTTACTGGTTTGCTCGGTTTGAGCAGGCAAAGCCTGGACCATGGAATAGTTTGTTCTGCTGCTCGCCTGGACCAGAAAAAGCTGTTGCCCATCTTCGGTTGGCACGGTTACATTTGTAATGAAACGTAGCTGCGCTCTTGACTCTGTGGAACATACAATCTCTTGCATTATTGGCTGCTGTTTTCGCTTGCCTACACTTGGTATTATGTCATGGATACCTGAAGATTACTTCGAACCGGACATGGGATTCAAATATAAGTAGTACTGTACTATACTAGTACTTTGGACACGGCAGCGTTCACGTTCAAGGGCTGTTGCCTCCACCCAGCGAACGGCGGAGGCCACGCCGGCGTCTGCACCGCCGGGGGCGTCGGCCTCAGCTCCGGCTCCCGCGGGGCGTTCCCTTGGTGGTCACGGTCACGGTCGGCTGCCATGGTCGTCGCGATAGCGGAGCTGCCGCTAGCTGCGGCGCACCTTGTGAAGAAGGCGAGGCGGGAGCCCAAGACATACGAGGAGGCGGCGGCGGCGGTGGGGCCAGGCGCCCGGGCCGGGACGACGCGCGAGACCGTGAGCCCCTGCGGCGCGCAGAGCTGCTCCGTGGCGCCGAGGACCCTCGCCGCGCACGGCGAGGCTGACGCTCCTGGCACGGCCACGTCGAAGTTGCCGCGCCCGTCGGTCTGCGCCGCGTGGAGACCCGCGCCTCCGCCGCCGCCGTCGTCGCCGGCGCATTTCACCGCCACGACCACACCTGTTATACAAGCACAAAAGGCGCGAGCGCGCACGTGCGTGTCACGCTCGGACTCTCAGGCGCCGCGCGTCGGCCTGGCTGACACGACAGGGACAAGTGAGACCAGACCACCAGTGTACGTGTACGTACCGGAGAGGTCGTGTCCCGCGGCGCAGTCGAGGCAGGCGACGGAGCCGCGGAGGCGGAGCGCGGGAGCTGCGCTCTCGCACGGCACCGCGCCGATGAGCGCGACGGCGAGGAGCAGCAGGAGCGCCCCGAGGAGCCATAGGCGATCTGCTTGGACATGCAAGCTGAGGGACTTCTTTATTGAGATCATGGCGGCCGGCCATCAACCATCATGTAGCGTGGCCACTGGCCAACCAACTTGTCAGCCTCTACACGGGCACTGGCGCTCAACTGAACTCATCAAGCAACGGCATAAATAGCCAGCTCTGAGCCTCCCAACAAAATCAGAGGGCGGAAGACAAGTCCACCGCGGCCGCGGCCGCTCGCCAGGCTCTTCGTAGCACCACCAGTCAGCCATTGAAGCATCGGGCCCGTAGGCTGTAGCGTGGAGTAAACACACCGCTCGTATTTGGACAAGGCACGGTGGGACTGCGAGAGCGTGGGAGATGGTTTTAGTACCACATCGGGACTAGGCAATGTGCCGGTATTATAATACAGTTAAAATTATTTTTTGGGTGCATTTAGGGTCATCAAACGACAAACGTCGACATTAAACTTTCTACTCAAGGGTTGATGAAGACTTGAAGAGAGCACTAGCATGGAAGAAGTGGCTTTGGGCTTATAAGCTCGTACACCATCCTGATATGGCTTCACAAAGATGAACTTTGTGATGTCGGCCCATGCAAGCTGAGGGACTTCTTTATTTAAAATTTATATCTTATATAAGCTTTAGCATCGTAGACATTTCTTATTCTTATTTCTACGAAACACAGTACATGTGCAGTTACTCATATATACATACACAAACACTCGCCATACCGTACAACCTCAAGCGTCTCACTATCGACAAACACTTAAAGAGTAGCGCTGTTAAATTCTAGAATAAGTTTTAGAAAAATACGAGCACCAAGGATTTGAACCCGCACATAAAGGTTCCACCACGAGAAACCTAAGTGTGCTGATAAATGCTTTGATTTGGTTACAGTTAACCAATATAATATCCTTGTAAAAAAAGTTAACTTCACTTGGTTTCCATTTATCAATGAGAGGCAGACAAGTCAGCAAGGATGCTACCTCGCACTCGTATCCACCTCAATACATATGTATTGGGGGTGACAAAATAACTATTTTCTACTACAATAATACACTCTAACACACGTGGATTGAGATAGATACAAGTGTAATCAAATAAGCTCTAAGGGAAAAATAACCCATTCTTACTTGTAGTAAAGAATTTCTACTTGATTATTACGATTCATAGATAGAGGGAGGAAAATATCAATTAGGAGCATCACCCGAGCTCAAATCTCGCCTCGTTTTTTGGACAATAATCTCTACATGTCGTACCCCACTTGTCATCATAGACAACATTATTTTCAACATCAATCTTGTCACACTTTTATATGTAGCAAACAATTTGCTATTGTTACAAAACTATGGGACACCGCCATTCTATTTGGTAAAATGTTGTTGTGTGGCCAGGTAATAAACCAAACAACCCTTCTTGTTCAGCCTCTCCATCCATCTCTTAACATGGTGGCATTCATGGAAATATTTGTGCAAGGTATCTTTATACTATTAAATTAAGATAGGGTTGCTCCATAATGGCTTTTGTTGTCCGAGGGAAGCTGTTAGGGACGTGTGTAAGGATATGCTGGCAGTTGGACCCGAGTTGTCGAATAGAGGAAGATCAAGGCCAAGCCAATGATACAAAGAGCTTGAACTACAAGCCGAAGGGGATATCCATGATTATTATGAAATCAAAACAGATCTCCTCCTTCCTTTGGAATCCTGCTTCCCCTCTACGGGTTCTTCTCCCTCTAGATTTCTACGCTTCACTAGCTACTTCTCTGATCCTCAGTGCTTCTCTTCGAGCCTGTGGCAGAACCGCCTAATCTAATGCCTCCCAGGAGTACTTGTCTTCCATTAGACACTGAGTACTCAAGGAAGAACACTAAATTACGCGGTTTCATCGGGCACACCCCAAGGGAGAACCCGAAAATCCATATTTTTCCATCAGGATCACAAATGGGAGAATAAAGCTTACAACATTTTAGCCATTTCTTACATCACTTTTCATGCAACATCAGAGTATAATATTTATTGTTATAACAGCGGAATATGATAATGTTATCAGAGTTATGAATAATTTAATTTAACAGCGGAAGATAAACATGTGATCAGAGTGACAGCGGAAATAAGTATCTATTCATGACATGATGAAGCATTGGTACGTAAGCTAGGAAAACAGATTATAGAACTTCTATTTATAAAAATATTTGGTGAGAATTATAAATAAAAACTATGATCGCAGATAAAGGAATCATCTCTAAGCCCACCAGGAGGGATCCACACACAAGAGGGATCCACACACAAGAGTCAGCTCTAGCATCCGTCTGTCACCTGCAACAGGGGGAAATAAAACCCTGAGTACTCAATTGTACTCAGCAAGACTTACCCGATAGGAGAAGAGAAAAGACTCCAAGGATATGCAAGGCTATTTGGCTTGTGAGTTTATTGCACCTGCAGGAGCATTACTAAACGTGTGTCCTTATATTCAATTTTATTACCAGTCATCATTAGTTCATTAACTAACCATTCTATGTAAGCACCTGTGCTACCTTCAAGCAGGTGATAAGCAATCAGAACCATTTTATCATCTTTCATCTTTCAGTTCTTACTACGTTGCTAGACTGTAGACAAGTCGTACCGGATCGCCCGGTGATTTGCGAATCAATGTGCCCAGCTGGGTACCCTGAAACACACGCTCCGCTTATACCCCAGGCACAAGCCAGACCAACCCACCACCCTCTTGTCACGGGGTCTAGGTCCCTGTCCAAACTTGGACTCTAAGCCCCCGTTCCTGAGTCCCGGACTCAGTACGGTGCTTAGACCTCCACCATCCCCGCCTCCAATCAGTCGGTCCGGAAAGAGCCGGAACCTATGACAAGAGAGAAATGAGTCTTCCCGCGCCCATACACAAGTATGTATTCAGGATAATAAGTATGTGACCTGCTTAGAACCCAATACAACGGCCGGTCCTTAACCGACACAGGCGGAACAAATGCAATATGAGCCTCACTCGAATGCCAAACCAAGTCCATATCCAAAGTACCATTCCGCCCGGTCTCCAATTATTATTCATATATATTCCAGGTGATAATAATATAGTAACAACAATAATATATTTCATATCTCTCGCGAGTGACAGACAATCACTCGACTTCTACCGGAGTCCTATAGCATAGCAACCTACACGATCCTGTCATACTAGTAAGACTCATAGGATAAAGATATATATATGCAAGTGGGTTTCATTCAACTCCTTAAAACCTAATGCACAAGCATAAATTAAAGTGCAGAATAATAGGAGTTATGCACCGAGGCTTGCCTGGGTAAGATTTAATCAGAAGTTAGTATTCCATTTTCATGATCTGTTCACCATGGCACCACCTTTTAGGTTTAACACCAGTTGATCCATCGATCCATCACCATTCCTATTATGATATGCATAAATGCAATACATGCTTCAGTCAAACAAGCATACAAGCAGGCATTACAAAACTTAAGAACAAGCAACATGTCGAAGTAGGACAAAGGTAGCTAATTATCGATAAGAACCACTCTCACACTCTCATCGAAACATACTCGTGAGTTGGTTACTAACAACATACCACAAGCTATCATCACGACCATTCCGCATTTAACATACTATCGGGGACCTAATACCGGGGTACCCCAAAGAGGAGGAATCAATGCACCATCGAACGGTAAAAACTCCCGAGAGCGCGGCTATATCTCTTGCCCGAGCAAACAGGAGTCTTGCTCCGCCTCGCCCGACCCCCGAGGGCTGGGCTCGGCCCCGCCCTACGGCTGGAAGGCAACTCCGCCTCGCCCGACGGCTGGGTAACAACTCACCCGACCCCCAAGGATACACTCCGCCTCGCCTGACCCCCGAGGACTGGGCTCGGCCCCGCCCGACGGCCGAGGGACACCTCCACTTCACCTGACGGTAAAAGCTAGGTTTTACCTCATCCAACGACCACTGACGGACCTCGTCTTAAACCGATATCCGGAGGCTGGTTTAGCTCACCTGACGAAACGTACCCCGCATCCTCATGATGGCGACTACAGGGTAAAGACAAGACATTCGGGTCAAACCGCAGCGACAGACGCCATGCCCTGCACCCCTGCAGAGAGGTACCGTCAGGATGTGGCAGAGACAAGCATCTGACCTCTCCAGGCGTGGCAGAGCCCGAACAGTGTTGCGGGCGCCTGCTATTCATCCTACAGTATTGTAGGCGCCGCCCGCAACCTTCGGACGAAGAACCCGACACAGACATACGACAACCACTATGTTCCAAGGGAAAACCAACAGTCACCCCGCCACCCGACCCCCTCAGGGTCGGGGCTCGGCAAATCCTGTCCGACACGCCGCCCGCAGGGGCGGGATGGGATGTACCCACTTGCTAAACAGTGGCCATGGCACGGCCCACGACGATCCACAGTCACCTCGCTCCTGACACGGCATGCCATGATGGATAGGTCAGGCGTGGGGAAGAAGGAAGGCCCGGGTCCCTCGAAGGACCTTCTACGCCCTTAGTGCTCTTTTCCTTTGTCTGTAAACCCTACTCCCCCTTGACCTATAAAAGGGAGGGCAGGGCTCCCCACTAAGGGGATCGATTCTGAACACACACACACGCACCACACGGCCAAGCTCCAGCAGAGCTCTTGGCGTCCTTCCAATCACTCCATCAGGGACTTGGGGTCTTTCCCTCTCCCAACCGTTTGTACCCCCTACTACGAACCTCATTCGGTGCTAATAACACGAGCAGCAACAGACTGGACGTAGGGACATTCGGCCCGAACCAGTATAACCCTTGTGTCCTTTAGCGCACCATCCGGGCCTAACGCGCATCAATTACAAATTTACTCGCCGGTGTTTGTTCGAAACACCGACAGTTGGCGCGCCAGGTAGGGGCCTTTGCGCGTTCCAAACCAGGCCGCGGATGGCTAACCACGACATTAGCTGGGTCCCAGGCGCACACATGCGTTTCGGGAGCCTAGATTTCATCATCATGGGGAGAGGAGATTTGGCATGGTCGCACGCCGCCATCCAATCTCTTCCCTCCAACGGCCATTACCATGAGA